TTGAGTGTGTGCACACTCCTGTTAGTGAAGTGAGTTTAGAAGAGAGTGATGAAACCAAAAGACGCGACCCTACAAAGACTTTGTTTATTATGGGTGAATTCTGTAGCTCAAGCCAAGACTTGGATTTTTAGTTGTTTTTATTTCTCTAAACATATGAAAACTTCATTAGCTATGTTTTCATAAATTTTCATTCCACATTTTATCACTCATTGCACAATTTAAAATCATATTAAAGACAGCCTAATGCAATTACTTGATCCTGTGATTAATAAGGACAGTCAAAATTACATGTGGGCTGTCATTTCAGACTTAAAAATGGAAGCGTTGCCAGGTCTGTGACCCCGACATTACCTTTGGAAAAATCTTGTAAACAACATTAGCTGAGGCGGATTACCATACACACATAGATGTTCTCCTGTACACCTCATTGGAGCAGTAAGGATAAGCGTTAATGCACATGTAGAAAATCACTTCGGCAAGACTTAATCATGCCGAACAATTTCAGTGGGAAGGTATTTGGTCCTGTTTCATTTTAATTTGAATCTGGAGATACCGTGGAAGCGATCGCTGCCACCGTTTGACAAAGAGCCAGTGCTCCAGCAACCAGGCCTCAACATGACAAATCCTCAATCTATTCCTGCTCTCCCGTTTCTTCTAAACACATGGTTTATGCAAATCGAAGCAAAATGATCCTGGGGATAGCAGCAATGTTTGAGCAATTTGAGTGCCGCCAATAGGACCTGGCATTAATATAAAATCAGCAAGGAGAGAAATCTCTTCTGCATATACAGGTCTCATTGACTGTACCCAAATTAATTTAGCAGAAAGGTTATGAATGTGTTTGTGCCAAAGTGCAGTCGGTTGTAGTGATATATGAAAGAATATTCACTCTGCATCTGTTGCTGTGATAAAGGTCATGTTGTCATTTACATAATATCAAATGCTTTGAAAATGAATTCATGTAGACGGTATTTTTCTTTACCTCTCTATTCACCCGCCGTAGCTTTCCCCAAATGCCGAGTTCAAATGAAATATAAATGATGAGGAAGAAAAATTTGAATATTTTCTTATTCAGATATCAGGTTGATGTTCATTAAAAAAAAAGACTTTTTAGATAGTAATGCTAGTCTCTGGACAGTCCTGTCTGATTGGATGTTGATGGATGGATGATCATTTGTCCTTGTCAGCAAATGAACATTTGAAATAACTGAGCTATCTGACTTTCAGGACCTGCAGAGAAAATCTATTAACATGTTAAATTGACCATTTGATGGTGTTAAACACCAGTGTTGGCCATCATACACAACTGACCTAAAAAATGTATAATGATTAATAGAGGCGGCAAGGTTTGTGATTATTTTAAGGTTCTCAATGCTAGATTAGCGTTGCATTTAGGACAAGATTGAATCTTACTAGCACCCTAGGGAAATAGGTCTGGGGCTACAGGAAACTAAGAGTGTGAAACAAAGGAAAGAAAAAAAAAAATCAAGAAACTTATAAACACGCACGATGAATTCATGTGTAAAAAGACAAGGTTTAAAATTGGTTTCAGATTTAAAACGGTAGCATTTTGACCAGTATTTGTCATCAGCTGTCATACCATGAGCCACTGACGTAAATTGTGCTTCTTGCTTGTTTGTTGTTTGGGTAAACAGCACTGATGTGTCAGGCAAGGCTAAGCCATACATTTGTTTTGTTTAAAAATGAGAGACACACAGTGCTTTTTTTAGCTAACGTTGGCTGTGCTCTTCATTTACTCCCAGCCAGGACATCGCTGCTGCACAGTGGTCCCTCCCTACGTTGGCTAATGATGCCAAGTACTCCACAACAACACAATCAGAGAGATGAATGCTGCATGCAGGATATAAAATAAAAATGATTTGACCAATATCAATTATAAGGCACCAGAAAATATTCACCTGTGGTGTTGGGATAGTTCCCCGTAGAGTGTGTAGTTAATGTAGCTCACTGGACCCATCACTTTTCTAAATGCTGTTCTTTCCACATAAGCATTTCATTCATCCTAAACCAGTTTTTATCCTGAACCCAGTTGAACCATGTTTTGTATGTCACCTAGAAATGCTAAATCTACTTGGTCACCAGCTTTGTTTTGATGTAAATGGACAATTTAGCATCTTAAAGAGGCCTCGAGTGAAATACCTCCTCCTAGCGTGATAGGATTTGTGTTGAGTTTATTCAATTGAAGGCATGAGCTAACTGTTTTGTTAACTGATTATGGAGAAAGAGCATCAGGGCCACATAAAAGGAGAAACCTGAGCTTCCTCGTTCATTCTCTGTGTTGATAAATTTCCTCAAATGTACAACTACAGAGTTCTGAAGAGCATCCAAAAGATGTTTAAAGAGGGTGGGGGGTGGGGGTATAATTACTATTTACTACCTCACATAAAACTTCTCTGGACACAGTTACATCAGTGGCCAATGTGGTCTACATTAGACACAGTTGGTGCGACAACATTTTCTCCTTAACACACACAAACTCGGAGCCTCTTTATTGCTCTGATTTCAAGGAATGCACACGCTCTCGCTGTCAGTTTCTCTGTGTGTCTCTTCCCCAGTTTCATCATCAGGCAACAGCCACTTCAGGCTTAACAAGCGGGCCTTCCAGACACCTTTTATGACCGAACTAATTACTAATTACGCAAGTGGTTGGCGTGAGCCACAGCACAACGCCAGCCCTTTGTTATTTTAATTATTGTTATTTTGAAAAATGGTGCTTTAGTAAATTCTGCCAAGGATGCCCTAAGAGGATGGATGGGCTCTGAATAATTTATCATGGTTGTGGAAACACACTCAGTGTGCAGTATGGGGGTTGCATGGCGTTGTACATCTCCTTTCTTATTACAGTGGCGCTCTCATCAGGGATTGATGACGAGGTTTCCTTCATCATCCGTCCACCTCTTCCAGCAGCCCATCATTAGGACTTCCATTGTTGCCTCTTCGCAGTGCAATGGATGAATATGACTGGCAGAGATGGTCCCCTCTTGCTGTGACTAATTACTCCAGCCAGTGGTTTCCCTCCTGATGGATTAATGTGTATTGTGTGAATCGGACAGGCCCCCCTCTTCTGTGAGATGAGAGACGAGTGCGTCCTGATTCAGAGCTGTGCGCCATGCACAACCTTGATAATTATTTTCATAGATGAATACCATTGCAGGCAGGATGATGAAGTGGCCATTTGCATTCAGAGGCTATCACATGCGAACATAGAGCAGGGTCTTTGTCACCAGCTAGAAATCTGGTACTGCACAGACCTGCGTCCCCTGTGCCTTTCCAACTTGCATGTACACACACACATACATACACACACACTCTCAAATTATTCTTCTACATATACAAAGTCCATACACATTTTTTCTATCTTTTTTATTTTACTGTGTTATATTGTGAAACATTTTCACATGTAGTGTTTGTGTTCTGTGGCTGTTTTGTACTAAATGTGCTCAAACCATCCAGGCATAAGATACTATATGAGCAGCAGTCACTTACTACTCGTCATCTGGCCTCTTGTGTGAGATCTCTAAAATCCAAATAAATTAGATAATCAATGGTTTTTTATTAGCCAAGGCATATAGGGTTTTGAAGGACCTGCTTGCAAATTGTATTTATTTTCTTGTGTAAAGCTCCTTTCCCGTGGAGAGGCCCCTGTGTGCTCATTGGTGTTGGACTGAAGATTTGTGAGGAGCCCCCCGGCCAGAGCAGCGTTCGAGAGTAGATCACATAAAGTATGCTGAGGTTTCCCGTCATAGCTTATGCCGCTGAAACCAAAAACTGCATTTTCCTACATCTTCACAGGATACACTGCTGCCACTTAACCTGGTCACAATTTGAAAAGTTTGCATTAGTGTTTAAACCTCTTTTTATAACATTAGTTCTCACAGAAAACAGGAAACACTTAGACACACCTGGCACATTGGAACTGAAGACCTTTACTGTGTTTCACAAATCACTGTAAATCGTAGCTTAAGGACTGTGCATTGTAACCTCAGGACAAGTCTAGACAAGCATTCTCTTACTTGCAAAAATAGTTTTTTTTTTTTTGTTGTTGTTTTTTTTTTAGCTAAAGTAAAATGACTATCTTCAGTCCAACAGTTTGCATTTCGTATCTCTGAAGACCCAAGGGCATGTTGATTCTCCTATCAACTCGAGTTACTAATCATTAACACAGTTTTTACATTTTAAAGAAGTTTTTCTTTTCTTCTGTTTTTGACATATAAACACTTTGCATGTAAAGGTTAAATAAAAAAACACTGAAATGTAAGTAGAAAAGATTGCTTATGCAAAAAATGATTTGTCTGAACTAGAGGTAATAAGTTAAATTTCAGTTAAATAACAGAAGAAGTGATATTTCATTATGGACAGGTACAGAGTATACATGAACGATGCAGTATGGTAGCGACTCATTAAAAGTTAACACTTTCTTTTAGAGCATAATGATTTACTGACCAAGCCTGGTAAAGGAGATGTAAATTGTTAAGAAACATGGAGGCTCTAGACACTGATTAATATTGGTAATGCTGTCCACCCCCTCCTCTGTGATTGTAATGGCCTTCTCCTTATCCCGCTGGTCTTGAGTCCTGACAAGAGGTACAGTATCCTGCTGGGCTTGAAATGAGCCTAGAATGGAAGCACGTGCCACAAAGGTGTGTGGAAAATGATCCTGCTGTCATTTGACTCATTCCTCTGTGATGGTACTTAGTGCTCAGTCCACCTTTTGAAAAGAGAGTGGAGGGGAAAAGGAGAATAAAGGAAATGTCTTAGCCTTTCAGAAGGAGGTACTGTCATTGTCAAAGGCAGGAACAATGTGATTTGGGGTCAAATCATGTGGATAAGTGAATATTTTTAAAAAGTGGCTTGAGGGTTAAAAATCCCCCACAATGCTGGCTTTATGTGTGCTTGCTCGGGCTGAGTGTTAATGCCGGGCTGCTATACCATGCTGGCTGGTAATTGCTAACACATGTGCTGCTTCTATCTCGTCACAGCCGGCCGAGGGAGTTCTGGCGCCTGGACTACTGGGAGGACGATTTAAGGCGTCGTCGTCGCTTCATCAGGAACCCCTTCGGATCCTCTCACTCAGAGGCTACGCTCAAAGCTGCGACTGAACACGGTCAGTCTCATACACCATGTCCTCTAGTTTCTGCCTCTTGTTTGCACTTGCTTTCTTACTCACCAGGTACAAAGCAATAAAAACGGGTCCTTCCGTTGCAATAAAATTTTTATTGTACCACAAGACACAGAAAAATACCACCCTCATTTGAATGTCACACAGGTAGTTTCATATTCTGCCTCCGATTATGCAAAGCTAGACTTACAAGCAGCCTGTGTTTGCATGTTTTACTCAGAAATTCAGGTTTGAACTGAGTGGTTGTGAATGCAATAATATGAAGCTTTCTTCCTTTTTTTAATTTGCTGCGTAACAGTGACTGATGTCAGTGGTAAGTTACATTCACACCCGTCCTCTTCTGTTTATCCTCATTGAGATTTAAATAAGGGATTTGGGGGATTTCTGCCTCTGTCTTCCTTTGCAGGATGGTCCAGCATGGGTTTTTATGGTGGTATGTTTTATTTGCTCCTCAGGTTACGTATTCCAAGAAAGCACCAATTGCAGTCCACCAAACATTTTCTGTTTTGAAGAAGGAGTCTACATTATTCTTGGAGCCTGTTAAACATTAAGATTTAATGTGAAATGGCCTCTGGAAACGGCTGCTCTTACCCACAGTACAGAGTTATTAATAAAACATTGATTAGTTTTTCCCTGTAGTATTGGGATAGGCCCAATCATTTTTTTTTTTCTGTGCATTTTACTTTAAAGACAGGTGCAGATTTTCAGTGAACCATTTCCAGCATTCACTTTTAACCACAACACATAGATGATTCACATCCCTGCGTTAACACCAGGAGTCATTTATTTTATAGAATGCAGAAATGAGGGATTACAGGCAAAGATCCAGTGCACATCTGGGTGCACTGTCGTCATGCTGGACCTACATTTACCAGCTTGGTCTCCAATAAATATCCACTTCTGCACCAAACTCTCCTCAGCGTGTCAACTGCAGAAGTTCCCTTAAAGACGACATCATTCTGAAAAACAAATGGCAGGTGTGACAGGAGTCAATAAGATTGTGATCTAAAAGCAATAAATGTAGAGGATCACAGGATCCTGGGAGACTTCTGGTCTGCAGTAAGAGCTGCAGTGTGGAGGCAGCTGGAGATGGAAGCCACAGTCCAGCTGGGTCGCTGTTCTTCTGTCGCACGCCTCCTAATGTTACTTGGTTTCCTCCTTTTTATCCCCCGTTTATTCCTCCTCATTTTCCCTTCAGCCAGATCATGACAGAGAGCAGACATATCACATAAACCGGTCACTGACTTCTTCTAGAAAATGCAGGCATTTGGTCTGTATTCAGTTTTACTCAAAACTATTTCAGCTCATGTGCTGCATATATTCATCACTTGGGGGAAAAAAAAGAGACAAATTCCTGCAAACAGCATTTGGTTTCAAAGTCAGGTCTGTGTAAAAATAGCCAGCAGTCAGTTGCAGCAAGGGTATGCTACCTCAAGAGAGTATACTGCCTGCTGGAGTATGGGAATATATCATTAAAATAACTCTTTGACATTGAAGCCTGACGGCATCCATTTTCTGATGTAACCTTTCGTCTTGTTTTAGTCGACCCGACATTTGTTACGGAAGTGCAGCTCAAGATGAGAATGCAGGGCTGAGTTTTCCAACGGAGCACAAAGGTCATATCTGGCTGTAATTATATTCATCAGATGCAGAGGAGAAAATGCAGTCTTGCTCCCTAGGAAAATATTTAGTATAAGATCAGGTCTGAATTTACCCTAATTTTCTAGCTACTTGTCGCAACACTTTTCAGATCTCGTGCATAGCCATAAAATCAGTGGTGGAAAAAGTACTTGGATCCCTTAAGTAAAAGTATCAGTACCACAGTGTAGAAATACTCTGTTACAAGTAAAAGCATTGTTGTGTATATCACATTTAATGTTGCCGCTGGTAAAGGGGGAACTCATTGCAACTAGCTTGTAATTTGAATAACTGCTGGATAGCTTGTGAATTTTCCACTGGAGATCAATAAAGTTTGATTATACTGTAATTTTGGTATTAATCTTGTTCTGAAAAGTAACTAAGATTATAAAATAAATGTAGTAGAGTAAAAAATATTTGCTTCTAAAATGTAGTGGTCGAAGTATGAAGTAGTACAAAATGACAATATTCAAAGTACCGATAGCGCAAAATATTACTTAAGTACAGTAATTGAGTAAATGTACTTAGTTACTTTCCACCTCTGATATAAATAGAACGGCAGTGGGGGAATATTTAGCTTTTTTTTTTAACTTGGCAGTATTGTACCAAAGTTTTATTTTTCTTATATAAAAAGAGGGACATGTGTCTTTTCCTTGAGACGTGAGAAAAATGTACATTTCTGCATTAAGGATATGGACAAATGTTATCATTCATACTGCGCCAGGATGATTTCCACAGGAGAGTGTGTGGCTGCCAGTAGGCCTGAGTAGGCTGTTATGTATTTATGGTTAGAAAGAACCATCTTTTCTGGGGATTGATTCGGTCAGGTCCAGGGCCCGTGTAGCAGAGGTGGCAGAGTAAATACCTGAAGACTAATGTCTGTGTTCTGGTAATCAATACTCGCCTCATGACCGCGCTCCTGGCTTCCCTCCCGTTAAAAACAAATTTGTTAATTTTGACAATTTAATTGCTGTGACCATGCATGCCTTGACTTGTATAAGCAGGTAGTTGAGCCTCTCGGTCGGGAAATGGGGTCTCGGAAAAAGCGCAACCTGTTGGGATTTATGCACGTTTCTGCTCCCTGTGTGATGATGAGTGATGAGATTGAAGGGCCCTGGCTAGATTTCTTGTTAATGTGGCGTGCCTACTCTTTGTGTAGGTTGTTTATCTTTTAATCTTTTTAAATTATACTTTAATTTAAACGACACCCTAAATTTTATATGTTAATGATATTTGAGTTTTAATCGTAAAATTTTTTGCTTTTTCAGTCTCGTCTGGGGTCTTTGTTAGTATTTTTTCTAGATGTGTGTAATAGTTTAATTCTTTAAAGTGATGCTCTTAGATTAGTTTGTCCAACTGTTAATTTGTACTTAAAGTTGTCGAATGATTTTATGCACACCACCAAAACGTCAGGGTTGTCAAATTAAACAAAAACTATCTTCTTTAGGAACAGGAGGAGTGAGAAGTTAGCATGGAGCCTGTCACTTATGGCCACATTTCTTTTAGGTGTGCTTGGTGAAAAGTGATGTAAGTCTGGTTAAAGTAGCTTTTCTTTCTGCTCTGGTAGACTCACTCCAACAATATGCTGACTGGTTATTTTGGTTGTAGTTACCAAAGTGTATATTGTAATGAGGGGTAGTTAATAACCTGTGTTTGAAGGTAATAGAAGGAGTAAGGTTTTGGATCAGTCTAGTTCAAGTGAGGCTTGCTAATGTACAATGTGCCTGGTGGGGCGAGAACTGCTGAGTGTGTTTTACAGTGAAATGCAAAGAAGCCGAACTACATCTCTGTTTTTTGAGCTCATCTGACAAGTCCCCTGTCCACTTGCTTGGTGTGAATACAATGGCATGTGGTACGTATTAGGGGAGCTGGTAGTAATTTCACTGCTGCTAACTAAAGAATCCTCCAGGGAGGCTTAATTACAGGAAGACCGTTCTAAATATCAGTGAGCTGCATATTTTCCACGACAAGAGATTTTTTAACCGAGCTCCTCTAGACGTTTCAAAGTCTAGAGCCGCCTAACATGGCTGTGCATTGTTAGGACGTGCAATTGATCTCCCCTCAGGTGACAATGAAAATAAAAAGCCCCTAGTTATGTGCTCACCGACTGACTGGATTAAAACTGTTGCTTTTACCAGAATGCTGGATTAAAAAACATGCACAGATGCAGTGAATGCTGTAGACTTGCCAGCCAGGCTTTGTTCTGTGTACTTGAGTCTGTGGATCCTCACCGTGCTCCACTGGGGAATGCAGGGCTCTGTAAATGTTTGCAGATTACCATTTTTCTTAAATAATCCATTTGGAACCTCAAGTCATGTTCAGTTGAAATCAAAACGGGCAGTGTGTGACCCTCATTTTGTTTAAATGTGTTTGGATAATCTTTGTGTGGAATGGCGTTTGTTTTGATGTATGTTAAAGGGTAAAATGCATTTAGGGCGAGGATTATGTCAGTCTTTTGTCTGCCCCGTTTTGTTTGCTATCTGCCTGCCTTCACGTAGCTCTGCAAGGCTGCAAGTCGGTGTGGGAGTAGCGGTGCTGATCAACTCGCTAATACTTGAATTAGAGAATAAACCTTGTGGATTAATGAGCTAAGCCATGATGTAATCTCAAACCGAGGTGTGTTTTATGAAGTTAGATTCAGATGTTAATGCAGTTCTGAATATTTGGGGGTTGGATTCATTTCTTATTTTTATGTGAGGTTATGGTCAGTTTGTACTTACCACTACTTCAGCTGGAGACCATGACGGTGCAAATAAGTGTTGAGTATGGACTGTAGAGTCATACAACATTTCCTTTTTTATGTTTTCTGTTTGTAATATTTGCTCATAATTGCTTTTTTTAAATTCAACAGAAAAAAGACAGGTGCTTAATTTCAATAAAATCAAAGGTGTTCATTTAAACTTTGTCATCAGACTGCAGTGAAATAGTCGAAGCACTTTACAGAGTTATACAGTTTTAAAAAAAAAGCCCCTTTTTCTCCACTAGTGTCTGAGGAGGACATTCTCAAAGGCAAGCAGTCCATCAGGAGTCACGCTCTGGGAAATCAAAACTCGGAGAGTGAGACGTCACTCGACGGAGATGATGACGCTCTGTCGTTCTTAGAGGAGAAGGACCTGGAGAACCTAACAGGTACAGAAGCAGCTCATGGTCACCTGCCTCTCAGGCTTGTTCAGCCCTCCCCATCCAGCTAAGTTGCATTTCTTCTGCAGCCTAAATAAAGAAATGAGGTTGTTGTAATTTTCAGTTTAGTGTAATAGTGAGTTATATTACACTCCCTTATGCACCGTTTTCCCACTGAGTTTCCCATATAAAGTAGCTGGTGCTTTTTTTTTTTGGATTCAATGTTTGAAACTGCACACCCCTTTATGAACATGTATACACATTCTTTTCACTGGATAACCTTTTTCATTATTGCACCTACCTCCGTGGAGAGCTGGTGAAAACACAGTATCTTCAGTTTGCTCTGTCTGCCACTGGAGGTCTGCTTTGCAAACACAAACAGGCCTGAGTAGCAACTCTGTAAACATTTTTTAATCCAGCAGTGGCTAAGTTTATCCCAGGATACTGCTTCCTCTGAAATGGGACATTATCTGACTCCAGAAAAGCAGCATTGCACCAATAAAAGCCTGAACTGCCCTCTGTGCATTAGCCTGATCAAATGATCACAACCCAGCCATAAATTGAATTTTATCCAACTCCCAATATTGTCAGTGCTGTTTATCTTTTGACATGTCTGTTATTTAAACCGTCTTGATTAAATATCATATTGTGCGCTAATGGGATTGCAGTGTAATCCGTGTTTTTATGTGCAGTGGCAGCGCTTTGCAGCCTAAGCTGCATTAATGGGGTTGAGAGTGCTGTTAAAATAACGCAACTGAATGACAACAGGATTAAACGTTGAATAAAACACCGTGTGAACTGCAAGAATCGAGTAGAGGTTGTCGGGAGAGGTGCAGCGTCTCCTCTTCAGCAGCTGTCTGCTTCAGCTGTAATTGAATGTCTGTGTGTGAATGCAAAAAAAAAAAAAAGTTATTTCAAGCCACGGACACCGTGTCGGTACTCACGGGGTTCACCACAGGGAGAGAAGTGAATCTATATTCAGTGCCTTGCGAAAGTATTCGGCCCCCTTGAACTTTGCGGCCTTTTGCCACATTTCAGGCTTCAAACATAAAGATATAAAACTGTAATTTTTTGTGAAGAATCAACAACAAGTGGGACACAATCATGAAGTGGAACGAAATTTATTGGATATTTCAAACTTTTTTAACAAATAAAAAACTGAAAAATTGGGCGTGCAAAATTATTCAGCCCCTTTACTTTCAGTGCAGCAAACTCTCTCCAGAAGTTCAGTGAGGATCTCTGAATGATCCAATGTTGACCTAAATGACTAATGATGATAAATAGAATCCACCTGTGTGTAATCAAGTCTCCGTATAAATGCACCTGCACTGTGATAGTCTCAGAGGTCTGTTTAAAGCGCAGAGAGCATCATGAAGAACAAGGAACACACCAGGCAGGTCCGAGATACTGTTGTGGAGAAGTTTAAAGCCGGATTTGGATACAAAAAGATTTCCCAAGCTTTAAACATCCCAAGGAGCACTGTGCAAGCGATAATATTGAAATGGAAGGAGTATCAGACCACTGCAAATCTACCAAGACCTGGCCGTCCCTCTAAACTTTCAGCTCATACAAGGAGAAGACTGATCAGAGATGCAGCCAAGAGGCCCATGATCACTCTGGATGAACTGCAGAGATCTACAGCTGAGGTGGGAGACTCTGTCCATAGGACAACAATCAGTCGTATACTGCACAAATCTGGCCTTTATGGAAGAGTGGCAAGAAGAAAGCCATTTCTTAAAGATATCCATAAAAAGTGTCGTTTAAAGTTTGCCACAAGCCACCTGGGAGACACACCAAACATGTGGAAGAAGGTGCTCTGGTCAGATGAAACCAAAATCGAACTTTTTGGCAACAATGCAAAACGTTATGTTTGGCGTAAAAGCAACACAGCTCATCACCCTGAACACACCATCCCTACTGTCAAACATGGTGGTGGCAGCATCGTGGTTTGGGCCTGCTTTTCTTCAGCAGGGACAGGGAAGATGGTTAAAATTGATGGGAAGATGGATGGAGCCAAATACAGGACCATTCTGGAAGGAAACCTGATGGAGTCTGCAAAAGACCTGAGACTGGGACGGAGATTTGTCTTCCAACACGACAATGATCCAAAACATAAAGCAAAATCTACAATGGAATGGTTCACAACTAAACATATCCAGGTGTTAGAATGGCCAAGTCAAAGTCCAGACCTGAATCTAATCGAGAATCTGTGGAAAGAACTGACAACTGCTGTTCACAAACGCTCTCCATCCAATCTCACTGAGCTCGAGCTGTTTTGCAAGGAGGAATGGGCAAAAATTTCAGTCTCTCGATGTGCAAAACTGATAGAGACATACCCCAAGCGACTTACAGCTGTAATCGCAGCAAAAGGTGGCGCTACAAAGTATTAACTTAAGGGGGCTGAATAATTTTGCACGCCCAATTTTTCAGTTTTTTTATTTGTTAAAAACGTTTGAAATATCCAATAAATTTCGTTCCACTTCATGATTGTGTCCCACTTGTTGTTGATTCTTCACAAAAAATTACAGTTTTATATCTTTATGTTTGAAGCCTGAAATGCTTATTCCAAACTGCGCTTGCGGGAGTGTGAGGGTGCTCGGGGAAATCAAGCCGGGCTCCGAGCCTCCTCTCTCCGCAGCACATCTGCAAATACAATGCCTCGTATGTGCACAGCTTCCACCCACAGCTCCCCTGAGCCAGGCTCTCATTGTCATACTGGCATAAATTAAGATTGATGAGAGATTAGACAGATCTCACACCCTGCATCCCACAATCAATTCATTCTGACGGACTGTCGATTTCTGACATGTCTCAAAATTTTACTGTGTATTTTTATTTTAGTAAGAGTATTAAGGCCTCTTTGGTTTACTCTATTTTATTTTACTTTCCATCAGCTAATGTCACAGGGCGGTTTCTAAATTGTTCTTTAAGTTTATATTCAATTCATCGATTAATTGCAAATGTACTATTAACTATCGCTAAGGGGTAAAACCTTCAGCTTTTCACAATAGGCTACTGCAACACCAGGCCTATTTAAATATAATTACTGAGAGAAAGTCGAAACTTTAAAGACACATTTATATTTTTATTCATTTTTACCACTTTCTCCTCTTTAATTAACCACGTCCAAGATTTGACTGGCCGTGGTTTTTTCATCAACTCAGTGAAATACCTTGTCGGGTTTAATAAGTTTAACCTTCCCTTTGGTGGCTTTTTAAAAATAAAAAAGCCACCTCCACTTGGAAAAGAGGACACAGGTGCTGTTTTCTAACCGGCTTGTGCGTGTCCGCCAGGCCCAGTAAACCTGAGCACCAGTGCCCAGCTGGTGGCTCCGGCCGCGGTGGTGAGAGGCACCCTGTCGGTCACCGCCTCCGAGCTCTACTTCGAGGTGGATGAGGACGAGCCGAGCTTCAGGGCGATCGATCCAAGGGTAAGAGACTGGAGCCCCATTGATCCCGGCTCACATTGTCACATATAGAAGCTGGTGCTGGTGAATGTCTTTTAAACTGGTGACGCATTTCAAATCTCTGTCTGTAATATCTGCAAAAGCAGATTCAGTTTGTCAGCTTGTTGCTGGAATCACAATATAACGTTATTTAAATTGAATCGGGGAAATGCCACATTACAAAATGTAAATACCTATATAGGCAGTTTTTCTAAATGAGTATTTAGTAAAAGAAATCTAACGCTACTAAAATGCTGCTTTATTAAGTGGCAAATTGAAATTACAGCTTTGTAAAAAATAAATAAATCAGGCCTTTTTGAGGAAAGACACAGATCAGACCTTCCCAGCGGTGACTTGGCTTTTTAGGCCAGCAGCGTTTTCCCATGGTAAGAAAATTAATAATTTAAATGACAAGTATTGTGCATATTTGGAAACTAGCAGCCCGCTGACCTACAGGTGGTTTAACACTCCAAGTAATGATCCTGTGTTGTTGTTGTTGTGTGTTTAACTCGATATGTTCTTAATAACGCCAGATTTAATTTGAATGTATGTCAGAATTGATTAAAATGAGCTAGAGGTGTTGTTGCTTTATCTAAAATCAGCCGCATTCTCCGGGTTAAGGTTTCAGGTAGGGCCTGTGCGGAGGCGCACACGGAGCGGACATGCTGCCGGGCCTGCGCATTAACGCGTGGCCGTTGATTTACATTCATTGGAAAAATCCTTTGAGTCTGAGACGCACAGTTAAAATAACTTGGGGCCTAAAGTTGAACGAGCACATCCCTTCTTTAAATGTCTAGCGTTGGCCTCTTGTGTGGATCATTTGACAATAAAGTGAAATGCAGCAGATTCGCCTGTCACCTCAGCTGTCAAGACACGTCAAGACACGAGGCCAAGTTGTAATTTAATTTGCAACATTTTATTAACATTTCTTTTTTTTTAAGTCACATAATGAAAAAAATGAACTTGGCACGCTACATTTTATTCTTTCACTTAACGATTTTGTGCATATCTTTAAATAAAAGTTTCTTCACTTTGTGAAAACATTTAAAGGAGACAACTAAAAGTTGTTACATTTATCTGAAAATGTACCTTAACGTCCTTTCTGTCAGTGGCCCAGTCTCTCCATTTAAAAACGGTTTTGTGGTTTGCTCTCTGCTTGGAGAATTCAGTTTTGTCCTTCTCTGGAGTTTTATCCCAAAATGTCTCTCGGCTCTGTCTCGAGCATCATTTCATAATTTGTCCAAACTTTTAGCATTGGTGAGGATTTCTCTTGCTAGTCTCCATGTCTGCTTAGCAGCAGCCTCCAGGGCTGAGTGAGGCTTTCCCTGAAACAAGTCCAAGTTTGGCAAGAAGTAGTGAGGACATCTGCGGCACTGCAGACAGGATATGAGCTGCAGCAGGATGCCATTCAGTCGGTCTCCGAGGCAAGACTCGTCCCAGTCGGTCTCTCTCGGGTGTTTCTCACACTCGTACAGCAGCAGGGTCTTCATGTGGTAGTTGTTGAGCGGCTGCCCCGGTAGCTCCAGGTGACGGTCCCTCAGAGTCTTCAGGATGGACAGACACTTCTTTCTGCAGCCGGCCATTAGCAGCCTGTTCTCGGCCTCACTGAACTGCAAGACCCAGGCGTCGCTCTCTGCAGAGCTCTGCTTCCCCGTCAGCGAGTAGCACTCTTTGGAGAGGAGGTTAAAACCCTCGGCTTTGACTTCTGCTACCCGGTTAGGGCCGGGCCATGGAATGTGGGGCATGGGCCACTGAGCTGCACTTCTAGGCCAAATACCAGTGCACTTGAACGCTGGGGTGATCTGCACCACGTACCTCTCCCTGATCCGTAGTTTCACCTCGCTGGTGTCCGCTACCATCTTAACCACGTCGCGGTAGCTGCATTTATCCACGGCCTGCGCTACAAGAGTCTGAAACCTGGAGCGGATCTTTCTGGCTGAGAGGTAGCCCGAGGCGGTGATGAACTCGACCCACAGTGACATGCTCCTTTTACGGCCATCACTCAGCTTCAGCACCGCGCAGCCGGGCAACGAGCCGTCGTCAACAAAGTTGAACACCCCCATTTGATTGAGGTAGAGCACCACCTCAAATTCATTGGGGGAGATGACCTCCATCCCCTCATAGCGCGCATCTATCTCACTGAGGGAGCTGATAAACCGGGGCTCCTGCACTTCCACCTCTTTAAGGACATCTGAAACCACTTTACAAACCTCCCGTATGGTCTTCGCAATGGCTGCTTTGCGAGCTTGGCATCTCTCGTTGTAATATTTATTTAGCTGGTAAACCAGCTTTGCCTGCGTCGCAATCATGTTTGGGCAGAGGTCCGGGCTGTACACCGGAGAGTCGCAGTAAGTTGACGGATCCAATGCTTACCGGTAAAGCCAGAGGCAAATGCTTCCCCGTGCAGGAAATGTATAATCAAAGTTTCGTTTTTCTTTCCTTTTTTTTTTTTTTTTGCTATTGCAGCGGATGGACGTCAGTGTGAGGAGGAGGAAACGGATAGGGATGCAACGGAATAGCCTGCTAAAAACAAGTCCAACTCATGAGCACTCCTTGCGCGGCTGAATTTTCAGGTTCAGGGTCACCATCCGCGTCCCGGGCTGCAGACGCTAAAGGCTAAAACACGGTCTGTGACCAGTCATCTCTCCTTGCTGTTATTCTCTCCACTGTGCCCCCGCTCACTTTTCGTCCACACTCAGCTGTGAGCTGGACTTGTGTACTTTATGAATGACTCCTTTAGGAAGAGTGAAAGGGGTCGGGCTTCTCTTCCTGCAATCATGTGCAGAGCTGTCAGTGCAGGCAGCCAATCGTAGCAGCCAGACGCAGACGGTCCTGCAGGAGAGCTCCAGTCAGCAGCATCTCGGCGCACGGAGCTGTCCGCTGCTCTCAGGTTGACACAGGAAAACACGGACCTATGGGTTTATAGGGGCAAATTCCTGTGCACACTCTCTAAGCCAACAGTAAAACATTATTCTTTCAAGAGTGCGTCTCGTTGCGCGCAGTTCCGCCTGGTGCATTTTGAGGATTAAGATAGTGTGAGTGTGATTGAGAGCTTCTAACTTTAAACCTGCTTTAAATCTACAGACTGGTTTTCTCTCCGCTTTCAGTGAATGTGTATCTTCATGGTTTACTCCTCTTGGAAAGGCTCAGTAATAATTTATTTGATAGTAAATTTGATTTTATTCTTACGGCTCATGCAGCATGTTGTAGTTTTCTTAGAAAACATTTCTAATGAACCTGCTGGCTTAATCTTTAGCATTTATAGGCCCTGTCTGGGTTTTATGGTTCCCCTTTTTTCGAAGCAGACGCCTGAAACCAGATATGTAAATGAACTTAAAAGTTAAATCTTTTTTTCCTCCCTCTTTTCTTCAAGATCACTACCAGTTCCTCTTTTGTTCCGGGATAAGCTCCGGAGCGAGTGATGTAGCCTATAATTAATATGTAATTGTATCGGGTATTTTATACACCATAAATATTTGATGTCATCACATCGTTAAACCTTTAGATAGACAGTAAATGCCTGGAGTGCACCTGCAGCTTGGGCTCAGAGAAGCTTGAGTTAGGGCGACCTGCAGTAGAAAGTGTAGTAAATCCACTTTTTATTCACTCTTTTAACTGATGGACATTTTCTTTGTCATTTTTAGCCTTATTTACTCGGGAGAAATTTTACAGAGTCAAATAACTGACGCGTGTCCGCGGCTTTTCTCACACACGCGTTAATTCGTCCGTGTTTGTCGCCTTGAACCTTGTCCCCTAGGCTGCTGAATGATTTTAACTACGGGACGAGCTTGTAATTGAAGCCTCATTGTCACCTATCCTTCACGATGGAGGACTAAAGAAGCCATTACTCTCCTCTTGGAGAAGGGGCTTCGATGTGAGACACACGTATGGTGGAAAAAGGCAGACAAATATTGTGTTGCGTTGTTGCCGCCTGTTACCTTTGCAGTCCTATCACGCGTGTCCGCTGTTCCAGTTTAAGAGGTCGCCGTCAGTTTTTTGCTTGTTTTGTGCGACTTTCAAGTCTCCCCTTGTTTAAAAGCCTCTGTAATTCAGTTCAGTAAGTGTTTTAATTCTGAGAGGTTGTGTTGGATAGAGCCACTCGGCGCTCCTCGATTATACAACGGTGAAAATATGAATACAAATGTTCAGTATAGTCTAATCGATCCCTAATTGATTGATTGGGCTACATTACAGAAAAGAGCAGCACCATAATCTATATGTCATATCTTGAATGACTTTTTAAATATAAATGGTGATCAGAGACTATGAAAAACATGTCTGTGTACAATTTTCTTTTGCATTCTGCCTTGAGCTGCAAGTTGCCCGTGTTGCTAAACCTTGTCCAGAGCAAAATGGAACCAGAAGGGTTTTTTTTTTTTTTTTAGTTTTGGGCAAATGCACTGTAATAAAAAATTGCATGGTCACACATACAATAACGTTTGTTACAAAATAATTTTACATGTGACAGAATGATTCAGTAATGATTTCCAGAAACCAGTTCACTGATATGAAGTAGCCAACTATGCAAAGGATCTTGAAATGAGCCCCAAACATTTTAGAAAAAGGCAAAGATTAATGAGCTCCGCTCCATAGTTGCAACATCCTCTGGGCTTTATCATGAAGCCTTTTTCTGCAAAGGATGATGAGGCTTTAGGGAGTGTAAAAGTAACTTGTGAATAAATCTGTAGAATTTATCATTTAATTTGGTGTGGAAAAGGCTGTAGACTCGCTTGGTATTTGGGGGCATGTCAGTGTATCAGATAGCCTATATTCAAAAACCAAAATTCACAAATTGCCACATTCATTTCACTTTACTCAGGATGAGAAACTTGTTTTATGTATGCCAAAGGCAGCATGTTGTCCAACAAAACAAATCATTTTATTTAATTACATAATTAATGGTGGGACCCTGTGTGCACATTTTTCATTAATTACGTAAGACTTAGCAGGGCTTGTCTTTACTTTGGTCTCAGAGGACAGGTTTAGTGTCAAATTAACTCGTCCCCACCAAGAAAAACATTTGAGGTGAAACAAAGCTGCATTTACTGGTATGTCTTGACATTTGAATGTGATACCCAAGCAGCTTAACAACACACAACATCCATTTGAATAGGCTTGCTAGGAATGTGTACATGTAGAGAAACTATGGCCAGTTGACTTGTTGTGATATTTAAAAGAAATGTTAAACTGAGATTTGGCAGTCCTCTTATATTCAAGTAAAGACGTAGTTAGCCTAATGGGGCACTGGAATTTAGGAACAGATAATAGAAAGAGAGAAAATAAATGAGAAAAAAGTCTGGCTGTTTAATTTTATGACTGTTTATTATCAAGCTCACAGCTTCAGAGAGATTCATCAACACCACTGGAGAGCAAGTGTCCAAATATTATGAAGGACGTGCTAACTAGCTTAATGAATGGGGACCCATAGTCAGACCTTTATAACGACTTTAAGAATCTGTTCTGACCCACTTATCACGCCACATGTTTCTGAGCAACTGTTCATTTTTTACTATTTAAAATGGAACCTATTGGGTTTTATTAAGTCTTTTTATTTTGACAGTTTATATGAAGCGGTTGGCTTTATCTCAGGATATGAGCATTTACTTGGTGTGCATTTCTGTGCACACATGTGGGTAACTGTCACAGTCTTATGTCTGCACACTTCTGGGAACAAATTTGGAAGCCTGGCTTTTGATGTTTTTAGCTTTTGCCTATACTTTTATTTGCTTTTTGCCCTTTGCAGTATTTTAAGTGTAGCATAGAGTATAATGTATAAGTTTAATGACAAAGGCCAACTGATTGTTACTCATTCATTCAGCCATTCTTGCCGCTTTTGTGTTCCTATTATTTCCTGAAAACATCCAGAATTATCTGTGGTTCCTTAAGAGTTCCCCCTGGTTTATATTGACTGGAGAAAAGATCAGGAGCCTGTCAGAGAGCTCTTTGATCTGAGCCTGTGTGACGACTCTGCAGTGATCCCTCTTGAGGACAAAAGTGCCCATGCCTGTGAAAATCTCTGCCAGCTGATGAGTAACCTTACTGCTTCTCTTTCTTTTCTTTTCTTCTGTCCTTGCACAATTGTTCTCCCACTGTCTCAGCCTTATTTTTATTCTTCGTCTCCTTTCCTACCAGACTAGACCAGGCGCCTTCAGGTGGCTTGGTGCTATGCCTTCTGCACTGTTAAAGTCTGGTTAAAGTAGCTTTTCTTTCTGCTCTGGTAGACTCACTCCAACAATATGCTGACTGGTTATTTTTGGTTGTAGTTACTAAAGTGTATATTGTAGAATAGTTTACCATTAGTTGAACAGTCTCTGGCACATTATTTGTGTTAAACATGTATATTCAAAACATATTTAGTCTCTTATATGAGGACCTTTTTTACCAAATGTCATAAATCTAGTAATTTAATCTGCTTGTTGAATGTAAAGTACCAAGTATGTGCTGTATATGCAGCAAATCTGTGCTTCACAAAATAAGTCCCCTAAAGTAATTTACAGCAGAATGACACACAGTTGTATTAAGTTGACCTCGGTCCATGCATCACATCTCAAAATGTTATGGCTAGATTTTATGGCATGGCATTGATGACAGTAGAATAAAAATAGAGGCCCCCTCCTCTTTGTATATTAGTTATTGTGCTTTTTACTTCTAAGTGAGTTATAGGGGAGGGTGATATCAGGGCATTTTCAGGTGTTGGTCTTTTTTATTAGGCTTCCTATGGAAACATAAGAGGTGCAGGGAAGGTGGCTCACTGTCTCATAACACACACAGACCAACATCAGCACACATGGGTACTGAGAGAGTACATTTTTGATGCTCTTGTATACTCTTGTTTTTGTTCTCTCCCAAATCTGGATGGACCCAGCTGCTCGCTCTGTAGAGGGCTCAAAGAAAATCATCGCAAGCAACTAATTGCCTGGCAGGCCCCTGCATCTGCGCAGCAGATAGCAGAACTGATGAAGTCACAGAGCAGATGTGTGTTTGCCTGCATGCTTATGTTTAGCAGAACCCTCTCTGTGTTTCAGCACAAGCCATCAATATTGCATGTGGAGTTATTGTTGCAGAGCCACTCCTGAAGACTACTAATATTGCATCAACGAGGAAGTGAAATTCGCTCTACTTCCAGCTGATTGGCTAAAGGAAATATCTGCAAAAATCTGATAGGATGGTATTTGCAATCCTCCTATAAATACCCATTACAATCTGAGCATATTATAGATAACTGTGTCCCTTTAGAGAGCTAGTTTCTAGTTGTGGTTGAAGTATGTAATACTTTTACACCATAAAAATTACAGATGTATGCTTTAAAAGGCTGGCATACACATTAAAGTAATTTAAATACTCAGTGTAGTTTTGGACATAATCCACTACAGAAATGATGGTGGTGTGACAGCTGCAGCAACTAATAGAAACACAGAAATAAAGTAATAAATCATTGGAAAACATGTACTTATTTATAAATTTGTAAAATAAAAAAACAAAACAAATTGGCACTTGAAATCTGCAGATTGAAACTGGCTTACAAGGTGTTCACAGTAAATTTCTGTCCTTAAAAAAATAGTAATGTACATGTAGTTGCTTATGTACTAACTGCATTGTACTATTACGGTATACTGCCATCACTAATACACTATATATACTCATATTACTAGTATGTTGTATGCTGCTGGGACATTGTAGGGAACAATTTGAAACTCATTGAAGGAGAATTGAATTAAATTATCCCACACTGGACC